TAAACTGCTCATTGGCATTGCGCAAAATATCCTTCAAGACTTATTCTTATTCAATATCAAATTATGGTAAGTCTTTTATCTTAATTGTTTTTTATTTTGTTGTGTGTTTGTTTGCCTTCAATTTGTACTTGAGTATCTTCTATATAATATTGCCAAACTTAATAGTAGTGTCCCTTGGAGCGTATTTGACACGAAACCCTTGGCAGCCATTGCAACCGAGGTATTGGCAAGAAAGAGTCGCAGCACTATAAGAATACGTGAACGAATATCTAACGTACGTAAACTTTAAACTAAGTAAGGTTAAAGCAAATGTTAAAACATACTGAAGCATTTATTATGTTTTACAGTTTGATTTTTACTTGAAAATTACATTGTGTCAACCTCTCCTTAATTTTGATCTAACAATTTTTTCCTTAAAAAAATTACTACATTATTATAAAATCTACACATAATGATATGCCGGTGTAGCTCGAGTGGATAAGGCGGCGAACTTCTGAACAAGGAGCTAGAGGTTCGACTCCTACCAATGGCGGCTATTTTTTTTTAATTTTTTTAATTATTTTAAAATACAAAATACTTTCGAAGTTTTATAAAGATTATATACAAACATATGTAACGATGTTATGCACTCACAAAAGAAAAGATTTTAAGAAAGCTAAAACTTCATAAAACATTTAAAAAAAAAAAAAAAACATCACTAGGAGAAAAAATATGTTGCGTATCTATGATAATTGAGACACTTATGTTATTAATGTGCTCATGTAATTAGTCCTAATAAGCTGCGGATGGTCTGAAAAAAAAGTTGTCTGAAACTTAATAAAGAAAAAACTTAACAAGACAGCCCTGCTACTTCAGAAGATGCTGCTGTGGAGGCAAAAAAAAAAAAGAAGCCTGTAGCTAGATAAAACTTTAAAACTTTCTTTTGGCAATTAAAAGTTTATTTTGCTACATTAACTTTTTTACTTTAAATATATACAGCAACTGTTTTTCAAAACGCCTTAATATGCTTATGACGTAATTCAAAAAAAAAAACGCAATTAAAAATAAAATTGTTTGGAAAAACTCTTCGTAAAACGTTTTTTGAAACAAGTAACTTTTATTTAGTTTTTTTTTTCTTTTGTGCAACTTTCTTTTCAATAAATTTCTTTACCTTTCAGAATATAACCATTTTTAACAATGCTATAGAAAAAATATCAGTAAATTGATTAGTAGTATTTCAATTATATTAATTAGATTAAATTATATATATTAAATTATATATTATATATATATTAAATTAAATAGATAAATAAATTGATATACAGTTAATACATGTGTATTTTTTTTTTTTGAAAAAACTTAGTGACAAAATAGACTAATTAGATAAGTCGTTAAGTAGAATGCTAAGAATATATTTATGGTGGTTATTGTTGTTAAGGGTGATTAATAGGCAAATAAATTAAAAGCTAATCAGGGTTTTGAATAAATTATAAACTAATCAGGGAAGTTTTATTTGTAAACCTAATAAATAGGAAGATAACATATAATTCAGGTAGACATTGTTTTCACTTTTTCGCCAAACTTTGATATCTTTGATATTAAAAAATATGACCTTTCCAATAATTACAGATGGTAGTGTATTAACCTTTTTTTTCGGAACCACAATCCGTTATGATTTGTTTTTTAACAATGTGAACGAAAGTCTATTCAAATATCTAAATATGTAAACTTTAAGTTCTTTAATTATCAATCAGTATTATTATGAAGTAGATGACGTCAAATTCTACCGATTTATTTTTACTTAAAAATTTCATTGCGACAATATCTCTTTATTTTAAAGCATTAAATGTTGTTTTTTAAAGTTTAATAAGTTTTCTGTTTATTAAATAGTGTAAAAAGATGATATAGCATTCCAAAGCGATTGAAGTGCTTCGCTTGGGTTCAAAACCTTTTGCTTACACAATTTTTTTTTTTAAATCTTTTCCAGTTTTCTAGAAAACAAAGAAAAACAAGTTTAAATGCATATAGATGTTATACGCATAACATAAAAATAAAAATATAATATACTATAACAAACCAAACGGAGAGAATTTTTTAAAACGTTTTTTAAAATTTCTAAAAACATAAAAACGCTGTACTTGATTCACGTGTGAATAAAACGATGATTTATTTTAGCCGCTTTTAATTGAAATCAACCAAGATATGCTGCCCTCCCCTAACCCCGTGAATCAAGCACACCACCCTAAAATTTAACTAAAGTTAAAAAATATATAAATTAATTTTTAGAACTTTAAGAGGGTGGACCCAAAACTCAGTTTTTGTTTATTCCGCTATTTTGATTGATGTTTTTGTAAAGCAGTAAACCTTAAAAACACATAGAAGCTTTAAGGTGTTTAAGCTATAATTTTATAAAACGTGTTTAAGCTAAAATAGACTTTTAAGTCTTTTAACTACGAAGCTTTCACGTAAAATGAAACTTTTTGTCATTTACTGAATGTGTTAAATTATAAAACTGTGCAACAATTTTATAATTTAAGACAAATCTTATATGTTTAATTGAAAAAGTGAATATTTTAAAAATTAATTTTGTCTATATATATATTAGATGTTCAGGAGATCAGAGCCGAAGAGCTCTTGCCAAGTAAGCTAACTTTGTATGAGAAGGATATGTTACAAAGATATATATTTCACCAATTTCAGCAATTTGTTAATTATAACTTTTTTTTAATGTTTAGCGGAAGTAATGGACAAGCTAAGTCAGGAATTTTTTTGTTGTTGTTGTTTTTTTGTTTTTTTGTGTGCAAATACAGTTATGCTTTTTTAGTTTTTTTAAAGTTATTTAGCAACTGACTTTTGTCAGTTGTGACAGTTTGTCAGTCAGCAAGTGACTTTTGTAACTTTTAAATTTATTTTATTTAGAAAAATTAGAAGATTCAGTTGAGAATCTATGTAAGCAATTTGTTATTGTTGTTGTCATGCTTTTTATTTTTTTTATTACATATTTATTTAACATAAAGTTATTCTATATATGGCAAGTTAGTTTATTTTAATGTTTAAAAGTTTTTCATTTTATTTAGAAAAAGTAGAACATTCAATGGGTAAACAGAATTTTATTATATTTCATTTGTGTATTATAGATAAAGATATAGCATTTTACTTTCAAAAAAAAAAGGTCTACTCTTTGGTCTTTTAGCTTTTTTGATACAATTTTTAGCATTTTTTTAATAGGGTTTATACTTCAACAGCTAAGTAAATTACTATAATGTTCTTCTTTATTTTTATTTTTTCTTTTTTTTTTTGGCACTTTTTTCTTTTTTTTTTTTTTTGGTTTGTTTTGTTTTGTGATTGTTATTTTTGGCTTTTGTATTGTTCCAACTTTATTTATGGATTTCCTAAAGTTGACAAATATTCTGCATGTTAGTTTCTTTCTTAATGTTAATGAGTTTTTTTTTATTCTATTTAGAAAAATTAGAAAATTCAATTGGTAAGCAAAGTTCACTTATGTTTCATTTTGTTTAATTTTATTACACTTTTTTTGATGTTTGTATGCGGTTTTATCACTTAAAATAAACTGTTTAATTGATTAGTATATGTTAGTTTATGTAAATATATTTTTTACATCCACTATAGCGTCATCTGCAGTACCATCTGGTAATGTATTTTGCATTCTTATGCAGTTTTAAGAGTGTTATGTGTGTTAAAACTTAAAGATAGCATATCTTAATTTACAGATTACTTTATTATTTTTTTTTGTCTCTACATTAACATCTCAAGCAATAATATCAGGTAATCTGTTTAGCATACTTATGCAGTTTTATGGGTTTTATGTGTATTAAAACTTAAATATTTTTTTTTTTCATGTTTTCATGCAATTACATAAATGTTTAACATATGTTACTTTATACACTTTTTTTTTTACTTTTGCAATAGCATCAATATCATCTGCAGTGCCATCAGGTAATGTGTTTTGCATACTTATGCAGTTTTATGAGTGTTATGTGTATTAAAACTTAAACATTACTTTTTTCATGTTTGTTATCAATTACATAAATGTGCAACATATGTTACTTTAAACATTTTTTTTTTTTACCTTTACAATAGCATCAATATCATCTGCAGTACCATCAGGTATTATGTTTTGCATACTTATGCAGTTTTATGAGTGTTATGTGTATTAAAACTTAAAGATTGCATATCTTATTTTGCACATCACTTTATTTTTTTTTTTTGTCTCTACATTAACACCTCAAGCAATAATATCAGGTAATCTGTTTAGCATACTTATGCAGTTTTATGAGTTTTATGTGTATTGAAACTTAATTTTTTTTAAATGTGTTTTGCATGCTTATGCAGTTTTATGAGTGTTATGTGTATTGGAACTTAAACATTACTTTTTTCGTGTTTGTATGCAATTACATAACTGTTTAATATATGTGTTTGTTTATATACTTTTTTATTTATTTCTGCAATAGCAACAGTATCAACTGCAGTACCACCAGGTAATGTGTTTTCCATACTTATGCAGTTTTTCTGTATTTATGCAGTGTTATGTGTATTGAAACTTAAACATTACTTTTTTCGTGTTTGTATGCAATTACATAACTGTTTAATATATGTGTTTGTTTATATACTTTTTTATTTATTTCTGCAATAGCAACAGTATCAACTGCAGTACCACCAGGTAATGTGTTTTCCATACTTATGCAGTTTTTCCGTATTTATGCAGTGTTATGTGTATTGAAACCTAAACATTACTTTTTTCATGTTTGTATGCAATTACATAACTGTTTAATATATGTGTTTGTTTATATACTTTTTTATTTATTTCTGCAATAGCAACAGTATCAACTGCAGTACCACCAGGTAATGTGTTTTCCATACTTATGCAGTTTTTCCGTATTTTTGCAGTGTTATGTGTATTGAAACCTAAACATTACTTTTTTCATGTTTGTATGCAATTACATAACTGTTTAATATATGTGTTAGTTCATATACTTTTTTATTTATTTCCATAATAGCAACAATATCTGCAGGACCATCAGGTAATCTGTTTTGCATACTTATGCAGTTTTGTGGGTGTTATGTGTATTTGTGTAGGTATATATGAAATTTAAACATTGCATATCTATATTTTTACATTACTTTATTTATTTATTTTTTTTGTCATAACTTTTTTTTTTTTGAAGTCTAAATAGTTTTAGATAATATTTTTATTGGTTGTTTTGTGCAGTATTGTATTCAAATTTATTTCTTTTTTTGTTTTTGTTTTTTAGCATCATATCAAGATTTCCTGCAATATCGCTCCCAGCACCCAGGTCCAATATCTTCAAGAGCTTTTTACCGGTGGAGTCAATATGGGGGAGATGATCCCTCCTTTAGATGGAGGAGAGAAGCCCCATATGACACCACTGGTAGAAGGAGGGGTGCTGGAAAGCGATTTAACTCTTTTAATTTCTACCAGTAGCTTTTTTAAACTACTGGTAGAATTATCTTCTTTTTTATTTATAAAGAAAATTGAATTTTTAAAAAAATGTTTTTTTAATTTCGCAATTTTTTATTATTTTAATTTATATACTTTTACTATTTTATTTTTTTGATTTTTAATTCTGTTTTTAAATCCTAAACTAACAAAGAACTCTTATGTTATAAAAGTTTTTAATAATTTGTCTATAAGTTTTTTTATTAATTTACGTTTTTACATCTTTTTATCCTCATTTTTAATTTTAATAATACTAAATTTTCTTTTGTATTAACTTTTATTTGTTAAGTGTTATATAGTTTTTGAAAGATTGGGTAAATATATTTAAAGTTTTTCTTTTTCTATGATATCTGTTTAATATGTCTAATATATGCACTATACACATATTAATCTCTTTACATTATTCTCTTTAGATATATTATAAAATAGTATTTAAAATCAGTTGTCAGCCACATGTGGTCTATATGATGCAACATGTTTGCAATTGTTGGCATGTCATTTAAAAATATGTAACTAATTTTGCTTTTCAATATTACCATTAATATGACTTTTAAAATAATAAAATTTTTTATTTGTTTCAAAAAATACTGTTTTATTACTTACAATATAGTATGTTATTACAAGATACTTCTGGCTTTTTCTCTGTTTCAAACCAGTTTAGTTATATCTTTTGTTCACAAATTTTATTAGATGCTATACACATAGTTTCATAGGTTTAAACTGATAAATAGCACTTTATTGTTTTTGTTCATTTTAGATTAGTATAGCAAAAAATTATTAAGATAAAGTTTTATCAAACATAAATAATTTCTCAATTATGTCAAGTAACCTAAGAGCTGAAAATAGAAGAAATCGTCGAAATGAAAGAAATGAGGCCAGACGAGAAGAAATTAATCGTCGCCAAAATGAAAGAAATGAGGCTAGGCGAGAAGAAATTAATCGTCGCCAAAATGAAAGGAATGAGGCTAGACGTGAAGAAGTTAATCGTCGCCAAAATGAAAGAAATGAGGCTCGACGAGTATTATTTAGGCGTGAAATGCATTGCATAGCAAGAAATAATGTTTTTATAGAGAGTAATTACCTAGGAGAAATGAACCATAATTGTCAGTATTGTGGTGCTAAAAAATTTTTAAATGAAACACATTTTTTGTGCTGCCATTCGGGAAAGGTTGTCTTACCTCCACTTTCACCTTATCCACCGCTGATGGTTGATTTAATGACAGGCAACCATGTTGATCGTGCTTTGAATCAAAATTTTTTCAAGCATATACGAAATTATAATGCCTGTCTATCTTTTGCTTCATTCATAGCCACAATAGATCCTCCGTCAAATCGTGGTCCACCCTGTTTTAGAATTAGTGGGCAAATTATGCATCGTATTGGTAATCTAAGACATCAGCAAGGGGATCCACCTGCTTATTGTCAATTATATGTTTATGATCCTAATACTGCTTTAAACTTTCGAATGGAGCAAAATGATTGTTGCATACGTGAGTTAATGGAACTTTTGCAGACTATAATTAATCAGGAGAACCCATATGCGCTTGCATTTAAAAACATGGCAGAAGTTGAAGATGCAGAAATTCGTCAAGCTGCTATAGAAGGTCGACCGATTTCTGTTGTCAAAATGTCGTTGCTTGAGGGTTGTGATAGACGTCGATACAATCTTCCATCACATGAAGAGGTTGCCATTGTGTTTGTAGGAAATGATGGTGCTCCACCTCCATCTAGAGAAGTTGTTATTTATCCTCGAGGTCAACCCTTAAAAACAATTTCAAGTATGTCTGCAAATCTAGATCCAATGATATATCCAATATTTTTTCCAAGAGGTGATGCAGGATGGCATGATCAACTAGAGCACAATCCTGACCGAGCAACACGTGTTCGAAATCGTGTTACTTTATCTCAGTACTACAACTATAGGCTTTCTATTAGACAAACGTTCAGTCCTATATTTTATGGTAAGAAACTTTTTCAACAGTATGCTGTTGATGCATATGTCAAGATTGAAGGACAGCGCCTTGCTTTTATCAGAAATAACCAAAACAAACTTAGAAGTGAACAATACGATACATTACATGAGTATGTAAATAATGTTGCAAATAACCTTAATGTAAGACCGGGTCGTGTTGTTATACTACCATCCTCATATGTTGGAAGTCCAAGAGCTTTAAAAGAAAATTTTGAAGATGCAATGGCAATTATAAAGAAATATGGTAAACCAGATCTTTTTATTACTTTTACCTGTAATTCAAAATGGAGAGAAATTACAGAAAATTTAAATCCAGGTGAGAGCGCAACTGACAGGCCTGATTTAGTTTGTCGCGTATTTAAGATGAAACTTAAATGCTTCTTAGGTGATATTTTTAAACATGGAGTCTTAGGCAAAGTTGTAAGTCATGTACAGGTTATTGAGTTTCAAAAACGTGGTTTGCCACATGTGCATATTTTATTACACTTTGTAAACGATGATAAGCTAGAAACAGCAGAGGATATTGATAGTTTAATATCAGCTGAAATTCCAGATCAAACTGTTGATCCTGAACTTTTTGAAATTGTAAAAACATGTATGATTCATGGACCATGTGGGATTTTAAATCCCAATTCTCCTTGCATGAAAGATGGAGTTAGCACAAAAAAATTTCCTAAAGAGTTTAATCCTTGCACTGTTGCAATTTTCAATGGTTATCCTAACTACAGGCGTTTAGATAATGGTAGAGTAGTCATTATAAAAGGTAACCAAGTTGATAATCGATGGGTCGTACCCTATAACCCCTGGTTATCAAAAAAATACCAAGCCCACATTAATGTTGAAGCTTGCATGTCTATTAAGTCAGTGAAGTATTTATACAAATATGTCTATAAGGGGCATGATTGTGCGAATGTGGTAATTAATGAAAGTGTTGACCATGATGAAATTAACACATATTTAGACTGTCGCTTTGTTTCCGCCCCAGAGGCTCTTTGGCGAATATATGAGTATTCCATAAGTGATATGTCACATACTATTATCCGCCTTCAAATCCACCTTCCTGATAATCAGAGAGTATATTTTAACGAAGGAGAAGAACAAGTAGCTATAGATCGTGCAGCACAGCGTGACACTCACCTAACCGCTTGGTTTAAGTTAAATGCTGAAAATAATGAAGCACGTCAGTATTCTTATGTTGAAATTCCATATCACTTTGTTTTTGGTAAAAATTGCATGTGGAAAGTAAGACAAAGAGGTAGTGATAAGGTGGTTGTTCGAATGTATAAAGTCAGTTATTTTTTCTCAGGTTGTTACTTTTGCATGTAAAAGGTGCAAAGTCTTTCGAGGATTTGCGTACTGTTCATGGTACTGTTTTTAATACATTTCGTGAAGCATGTTATCATTTAGGTTTATTGCAAGATGACATTGAGTGGAGAAATACATTAATTGAAGCTGCTGCAACTCGGATGCCTAAACAAATTAGGCTACTGTTTTGCATCATATTAACTTTATGTGAACCTGATGATCCTTTACACCTTTGGAATACATTTAAAAATTATATGGTTGAGGATTACATACACCATTCAATGCCAGTCGTACTTGCTGAGCAGGCAGCTCTTCGTCAAATTGAATCTATAATTAATCAGAGTGGTAAAACCTTAGCTGATTATAATTTGCCAGCTTTAAATCAGTTTTTAGATAATGTCCCAGAAAATGATGATGAAGATGTTCAGGTGTTTATTGATGAAGCAAACCGAGTTAGACCATTATTGAATGATAATCAACGTAATGTAGCTGATGCGATCCTTGCTGCACTAAGTGTGGAACCTACTAATGAAAATAAGCATTCAAGGTTGTTTTTTATGGATGGGCCTGCCGGTTGTGGTAAAACATTTACTTACAACTATTTAATTTCTGAAACACAGAGCAGGCATATTAGAACTGCAACAGCTGCATGGACAGGAATAGCTGCAACTCTTCTCAAAAATGGGTGCACAATGCATGGCTTATTCAAACTTCCTGTTCCAATTTTGGAAACTAGCACATGTAATGTAACTCCAAACTCTATTCATGGTAGATTCCTGAGACAAATCAGTTTGTATTTACTTGATGAAGCATCTATGATACCCAAATATGCTTTGAGTGCCATTGATAAGCTATTACAAGATATTTGTAATAACAACTTTCCTTTTGGTGGTAAGGTTATTCTTATGGGTGGAGACTTCAGACAAATACTTCCAGTTGTGAAGCGAGGTCGACCAGCAGAAGTTATAGAATCATGTTTAAAATGTTCTGAACATTGGCAATATGTGCAAAGGTTCTCATTAACTGTAAACATGAGGGTTCAGATAGAAGAAGAGGAATTTTCTCAATGGCTTTTAAAGCTTGGAAGTGGAACATTACCTGTCAAGCCTGAAGATCCTTTGCGAGGGTGTATTGAAATACCTGAGCAGTGCTTTCTCAGTGATAATGAATCTATTGTGGAGAAGATTTTCGGTGGTGCAGAAGAAGGTGATTATGCAAAACGTGCTATTTTAACGCCAACAAATGTTGATTCATTGGCAATAAATGAAGAAGTCCTTCATCGCTTACCCGGTGATGTGAAAACATATTTAAGTTCAGATAGCATTGATACTGATGATCTTAATGAAATTAATAATTTTCCAGTCGAGTTTTTAAATAGTTTGACTCCATCAGGTATGCCTGTTCATTGCCTAAAATTAAAAATTGGTGCTGTTATAATGCTACTTAGAAATTTAGATCTCAAAGGTGGACTTTGTAATGGAACCCGTTTGATGGTGCGTGCATTACACAACAATTATATTGATGGTGAGGTTTTAACAGGTGTATCAGCTGGTAACAGGGTATTTGTTCCTCGAGTTCAATTAGCTCCATCAGATGCAAATTTACCTTTTACACTTAAACGCCGTCAGTTTCCAGTTAGGTTAGCATACTCAATGACCATAAATAAAAGTCAAGGTCAAACATTTGAAAAAGTTGGTGTTTATCTCAAAAAACCTTGCTTTTCACACGGCCAATTATATGTTGCATGTTCAAGAACAAGATCATTTAATAGTTTGTTTTTCAAAGTTGATAAACATCCATTACAAGGTACGTCATTTAACAAACATTACACAAATAATGTTGTCTTTACAAATGTTCTTAATTTATAATTTTGACAAGTATATTATGTGTTATATGTGTTTTATATTTTTTGTATGTTTTTTTTTTTTTTTTTTTTGCTATATGTGTATATAAATGAATGTGTTTATATGCGTTTATATATCTTTATTTATATTTATGTGCTTAAGTTTATACAAGTTTATATTAAGTTGTTTCCATGTGAAAAGTGGTGTTACTTGGCAACGTGTAGTGCAAGATTGTGATTCTTGCTAGCCAAGCGGTGTTACTAATTAGTGGTGTTACTTGGCACTTAATGCCAAGCGGTGTTACTAAATTGTGGTGTTACTTGGCAGCGTTTAGTGCCAAGCGGTGTTACAAGTGTTGAGCTAGGTTGTGTTGTCTAGCTTTTTTAATTATTCTGGAAACACATAATCTGAATATTTTGTGTTATGTGCAAATGTGTTATGTACAAATATTTGATGCTATGTGTATTCAGTAGCATAGGCAGGGTCTTTTGATGCTTCAGATAGCATTTTCAACCAAACTTAAGTGTATTCACGTTTATAGAATTAAAATACTTTGCAAAAAATTGATGTTTTTAAAGCTTAGGAACAAATGTTTAAAAAAAGTGTTTTTCTTAACCTGAATTTTTTTAGACATAACAAAGTTAAACTCTTCAACAGCTTCTAAATATATATCTGAAACAACAAAAATCCTGCCTACACTACTGGTGTTATTGTTTGTCATCCTGTAATGTTGTTGTGATGTTTTGTGTTGATAGACAGCTTGGCTTACCTTCACGTTGGTGTCTATCGTTAAAAATGATTATTGGGTAGCTTCATTACTGAAACTTACTCCTAATCATTCACTAAAAGCCAAGAAATATTTTAAGAAAAAATGCCTAATTTTTTTGTGTCAGTAAGAATTTTTATCTTTAGCAATGCTGATAAAACTGAATTTTTTTAAAAAAAGAGTTATTCCAGCCTTCCAACCAAATATTAGAGACTTTTAAAAAAGCACTCTCACAAAGTAAGTGTCTAATCTTCTATATAATATTGCCGAACTAATTTTTACTAAATTTTGGTTCGTATTTTTCATTTCTCAAATGAATTAACATAAAACAAATAAATGTGCATTCAGTGTTATCAATAATGATTTTATTTCATTTTTAGATAATGCTTTTATAATCAATTTAAAAGTCTTTCAAATCGTTAACCATTTTCTAAAGGCGAAGAAGAAGAATCATCAATCTTCATACCATTTAATAAAGCTATTTTAATAAAACGCAATACAAATTGTTGTAAATTAGTATTTGAATAATTTTCACGTTGTTACCTTATTTTGCAGTTTCCTATCACTTTGTATTGAATTAACTAAATCCAATATTACAGTTCCTTTTATCAAGTACTTCACATTTTCTGTTTTTGTTTTATGCAGAAAAACAGATCAAATTAATTTATTTGACTTGCCTAGCTACTTATTTTACAGGCCTAGCCACAGTGAGTGTGCATAAATCAACAGAGGATTTGGGTTTGGGCAGGTTGTCTTGAACTAAATGATTTACCTTCTTCATGTTAAGCTCTAAATATAAATATACGGAAAAGGTGCATATGTGAATTTTTTTTTTCTAGCACATAATCTATTGTTCACTAAATAATATTTGAGGGAGAAATAGAGATAAGGTTAATGTGGAATAGAGTTTGTCTTTTTAAGTGAAAAACTATTTTATAATCTATCTATCTTCTTCTATATAATATTGCCGAACTTAATAGTAGTGTTAGTAGAAAGAGTCACAGCACTTTTTTTAGAAGAAAACGTGTATGCAAATATCTAACGTACGTAATTAAGTAATGATAAAACATACTGAAACATTTTTCAAGTTTTATAGTTTGACTTTGACTTAAAAATTGCATTGCGTCAACCTCTCCTTAATTTTTGATCTACAGCAATTCCGTTAAAAACAATTTTTATATATTTTTAAAATTTCGATATTTGATGTGTCAGCATGGCCGAGTGGTTAGCGCGCTAAGCTTCTGAACGTAATAGTCGTGGTTCAAATTTACCACCAGCGATTTTTTTCTTTAAATTACAAAATATTTGTGAAGTTAAATAAGTTAAATGTTATACACTTTAACCGTTTTTTCTTTTTATATTTTATATATTTTTTGGATTTCTAAAAACACCAATAAACGGGGCGAAAATTTGTTGCGTGTGTGTCACGATTTTGATACTGTTCTCACATAATTGGTCCTAATAAGCTACGGATAGTCTTAAAAAAAAAGGTCCTAAAACCTAATAAAAAAAAAAATTGATAAAACCGTCCTGCTACTCCACATGGTATTGCAGTCGAGGCAGGGAAAAAAAAAAGCAATTAAAAGGTTTTTTGTTATATTTAATTTTTTGCTATAATTATAGCCAGATTAAAAAAAATGTATTGAGATTTTTTAGGCGCGGATTTGAAGCCTTGCACAGCGAATCTGATGACAGCGCACTTAACTTGTGAGCTATCAAAGTTATGCATGTAGTTAGGCGCTTCAACATTTTTTTAAAAATGTAAAATGAAAACAAAATAAATACCATAAGTAAGAGCTAAATAATAACGTTTAAAAATTACCAAACTTTTTGTTATAATATTATTAATTCTTCAACTTTTAAACCACAAAATTTATAATTTATTTTTTTGCATGACTTTTGACGCTTTAAGCGACTAACGTTTTAAAGAATTGCATTACCGTTTCCGTCTAATACAAAGATAACTATAAAAGACCGTTATTATTCAAAACTAAGCATATAATAATAATAAATATAGTAAACTATTGAATATGGCTAGGACGCGACCATAAACCATGGTCCATGGCTGGTCTAAATGTAGAAAGTAGTTTAGTTCAGAATTTTTTTTAAAAAAAATAAATAAACGGGGTTTAATAAGCTATATAGGTATGCGGAAAAAGTGCGTATGTTAAAGTTTTTTTTTGCTCTCAAAGCAAATTTTTTTGATGAATTTTTTTCCACCGTTTACTAAAAAATATTGAAGTAAATAAGGAACAAGTAAAGAAATGATTGGCGTGGAATAAATAAATATAGAAGTAGAAGAAAAGACCTGTATTTACCGATACGGACAGCTAGATTAAGAAAATAAGGGAAAAGGTTTGTGTGGAATAGAATTACAAAGACCCGTATTTTTACGGGTCAATCCAGCTAGT